AAAATGAGACTATTTAGGCTATCAGATTTGTAAGTAGTTTTAGTTTCTTATAAATATCTAATAGTCGATTTCTCGAAATGTAATCGAATGCTTCCTTTATATTTATAAATAATATTGAGGTCTTTTTATTGACTTATTTGTTTTTTTCGATTTCTGTAATTAATAAAAGTACAGTGTCGATTACTGATTTCTTTTGGCATCCTTCCATTTAACTCTTGTAAAGGAAATGGGTTGTTTCCACTAAATATCCTAATCGTTGAGCTAGAATCCTTTCGCTTATTTTATCTAGACAATTTAAGAATACAATTACTCTATATACTTTTGAAAAGGAATAATCTGGTTTGGAAGTTTTCTTCAGAATAACTCCTATAGCTTGTTTCTAACATTTCAGATAATATCCTAGATTAATAAGTTTATTAAAAAAAGTAAAAAAGGTTTGTAGAATTGTTTTATAAGTCTTTATAATAATCTCTTAAGTGATTCCATCTAAGCCAAGGGTTTTTCCTTGGATTTTGGCTAAACAGGTATTGCTTAATTCGATTTGAATGAAATTAGGCCATTCCTATTACTTGGATTGTTTATATCCTTCCTATTATGGTTTTGGGGTAATAAAAGGGGGTGGGAACAGAATTGATTTGAAAGCAGAGCATTTTTCTTCGAAAAAGCTTTTTGTTATAATATCCAGTATCCTTTGATCTTGAAAGTCTTTAGTATAGGCTATTGCTTTGAAGATTGTCTTTATATCCTCCTTTTCTAAAAACTTATTCTAATGATTTTTCTTTATTGTTTTAATAGCTTAAAAGTATTTGTTTTTAGCAATTCGATATCCTTCCTTAAAGCTATAATTCTCCAGATCTGATTCAATTCTTTGCTTTGCTTCTTTTAGCTCTTTTCAAAGATCTTTCAATTTAAGTGTTCACCATAATTTGGCCCTTTTAATTGAAACAATTTTAGATATACATTTTTCTATTGCTTTTTGAATAATCCTAATAAGTTTGCTTATTGTTTGATCTAAAGTTAGATAATGATTATCTTTGTTTTTCAAAAGATTTAAGGAATTCTCTTTGATTGGAATAATTAATTCTAAATTAGATAGTATAAGGGAATATAAGGATTCCGATTTGAGTATTAATTCGAACTTTTCCCAATTCGCTAATTTAATATTGTATCTAGCTATCAATCCAATATTAGAAATACTTAGATCTTCTTTTCCTTTTAATTCGAATAATATTCCTGCATAATCAGATCCTATATCTGAAAGCATTTGCCAATTGTGAATTTGAAAAGAGATTCTCTTTAATATTAGTGTTAGATCAAGAATACTTAGATTAAGAAGATTAGTTTGATAGAAAGTGCTGATTCCAGGCTCATTTAAAAGAATAAGATTCTGATCTTCAAATCATTCAGCTAATTGATTAGCATTTCCGTTTTTTTTCAAAAAAGGATTTTATTATAGATAATAAGTATTAAAATTACCTAAAAGAATGGTTTCTTGTATAATAGATATATTATACAAATATCTTTCGATTATGAAACCTTTTTTTTTAGTTTGATTAGCTTTATTGTATATATTGATAATTTGAAAGGTTTTGTTTCCATTTTGATAATTGAAAATCTGTATATCAGAATCTATTGGAGAATCGGAAGCTAGATTGATTATAGCTTGAAGAGTTTTTGATGTATATAGTAGTGTATATGGCCGGTAATTAGAATTGAGTCTTGATAATGTTGTATGAAATTGAAGTGTATAATAGATCTTGAATTTGAGTAATCGATTCTGTTTTTAATAATCCAAGATTCTTAAATCATAATGAGGTCGATATTAAGTTCTATTACAAGCTATAGAATGTTCTCTATAGTTTATAAACTCCGATTAAGATTTATTTGAAGGATTCGAATATTAATGTAACTCATTAATGAATAGTATTCAATTTTTATTAAATAGCCTAATAGGTTTCACATATTTTCGAATTTGCTATATGATTCCCTTAGCAATTCGAGCATTTTACTTCTAAATGTTAACAGAACTTTCCTCTGATATTATATACCATATACAAATATACTAATATAATATGCTTACCTTTATATAATCTATAGAAAGAGTTCTTTCTACAATAAGCATCCTGATATCCAAATCCTTGATATTTCTGATATTGTATAGTTGGTTTTGATTCATAGAATTATTCTATTCTTATATTATTTCCAGCAATATATAATCGCTTTCGAATAGTTAATTCTGCTTCTGATTTTATAGTAAAAGCAATAATAATAGCACCCTCTCGTTAATAAGCTTTTCTGGAGGCGGGTGTAAGCCAAAAGGGGGTTCCTATAGGCTTGAAGTCTGGATTGAAGGTTTTGATTTCGTCGAGTATTAGATCCATTCCTTTTATACCTGAGAATTCTTTAATTGGGATTTTGTGAATAATGACTTTGTGCCATTCTTGATTCTTTTGGATTCTTTTGAATTTGATAATATTACTCCAAATCGCTTTCTTCTTCAATAAGAATTGTAATATAAAGGGATCATTTGTTGTAATAATGATATTATTATTGAAGGATATAATTGCTATTGTAATAACTAGCCCTTTGATTCCGATCTTTTGAAAGACTTCATTTATTTTGTTTCGAATAATTAGAGGGGAAAAAAAGATAGGATTTGGAAAATCTGACTTGATTAAGATAATTCGTTTTTGAATAAGATTAGATTTCTTTTCTATATTAATAGATATAATGTTTTTCCCTTTAGGGACTAAATTCCATTCTCCTTTTTTTGAAATATCAGTATATATTGATTTCAATATAATAATAATAACAATAATAAACAAAAAAGATTTAGCTAATACTTTTGCTTGTGATTCGATTTTGCGTGTAGCGATTTCCAAATAGGTGATTTGAAAGATAATAATATTAGAAGCTATAGTAAGCTTCCCCTTTTCAATATATTTTCTAAAGATCTTTAGAAGATCTAAGAGCTTGAATTATTCTTTATATAATTGGGAGAGAGAGGAAGCTAGTATTATAAGATCTCTAGCTTTCAAAATAGCTTCCTTAAGTGTATTTGGGTTGTTTTGGATTCTAGGTTGTTTGTTTTGATTGCTAAGGGGTATTGTAAAGCCCTGTTTCTTATTCTGATTAAATATATAGATAGTATTAATTGTATCTTGAGTAATGAAGGGGTTACTAAATAGATTAAACTTTTCAACTCTTTTTTCAAAACTGGTTAGCTGATTGGTTGATAGAATAGGGCTAGAGATTTCGAATTGAGGATTTTCAGAAGGCGGGGGAGGGCTTGAAGGTATTGGGATATCTAAAACAATAATAGGATAAGTGTTTGATATAATAAAGGCTTCAGAAGAAGTCTTTATTATAGTTATATTCTTAAGTATTAATGGATTATCGAGACAATCCATATTAAGGATTTTATTCTTATTTTGATAATTTGAAATAAAAATTTTATGCGAATTTTTGTGTACGTTTTGTGTTTGGAATGCTGACGATAGTATTATAATAACTATTGATCAGAATCACTTGGGGATAATTATAATCAATTTGGTTTAATAATTATGATCTAAATCGATCGCGAAAGGGTCGTATTTCGAAGAAAAAGTTTCCTTCGAAATTTGTTGTGATTGTTTTTGCAGATGGATATATAGATATATTTAGAATGCCGAGTAGATTGATAAGCTGACTGCTGTTTTAAGCTTGGATATTTTGATGTAAGTGTACAAGATGTGTGATGTATGATCTAGAAGATATTTGGTTTTGGTTTAGATTGAGAAGGCGAGATGGCTCGTTGGAGGATGTGTTTGAATTGAAGATAACCTGAAATCATAGAAAAGATGGCATCTTTTTCTTTTGGGGGATCTGTTAGTGATGAGGATGTAAGTATGTGCGAATTTGAGTTGTGAGAGATGATGTTGATTTGAAATGGTTTTGATGATCTTAAGTTTAATGATTATTGTTATAAAAGCTCGTAGGGGTTGATGGAATAAAATATTAGCCATCATATAACCTTTGTAGAATCTTTCATATCAATTCTCATATCAAGCATTAATTACCCTTTTCTCATTGTTTTTGTTAAATTGAAGTAGATAGATAAATATATTGCTACCGAGACTCTATGTCTAGATTGTTTTCCTTGTTTCCAGTACTTGATGGTATTGAGGACGAAGCGAGACAATTTGAGGTGAGGTGAGATGAAGTGGGTTAGATTAGGTTGGAAGGGATATCTACAGATGGCTCCAGAAGAAAGGAAGCAATTATGATGCAGCTCCTCCAGAATTTGAACCCTGCAAAGTCATATGTGTAGTAGAAGACAGTGGATAAGATGACTCAGAGAAACTGTTGCATGAGCTCTGCATCCAAAATCGTTTCAATAAGAGGGACCTTAAATACTAATCCCAATCTCCGCCTCAACTCCGTAGCTCTACAATACCACGTATATATCCCCGGAATAACCACCGTTACATCCTTCTCCCACTGCGCCATACAAATTTTCCCCAGCTCAAACATACTCTCCGCTTCCTCCTGGGCCATCTTCTGCTCTTCCGGTTTCGTATACACCAAGTAGATTTTCTCAAACGCAGGACCCTCCAAAATATAGGAATTCCCAAAACGCACATTCCAGCCACGATCGCGCTGGCCCGGGAAGAAATTCGACCACGTATGGAATGGTTTGTGCTGGGCTTGGTAATCGATGGCGAGATGGCGGAACTTGTATTTTGAGACCAGGTGGTGGAATGTTCCTTCTTCCCGGGGAAATTGTGTGATTATACTACCTTTTCTTGTCTCAAAACCAACAATGGCTGGGCCTCGCACCCAGAGAATATCCGTATCTTCATTCAGGTAAAACGGGCGACGGAAAAAAGTCCGAAAGCTGTAGTTTCGCAAAGCGATCTTGTGAGATTCGCTACAGACATGCAGAAGATTTGTTGGGATAGGAGAGGTGATTGTGTAAAATCGGCTGCGACGTTGAATGGAGACTTTGTCGTAGAAAGATGCTACGTATTTGATGGTGTTTCTTTGAATTTGCTTTGGATTTCAATCGCTCGCGGAATTGGGACGGCAGCAAACTCCCATACTTTGCGCTGGAGCTTGAGAGGAAGGTTCGGGAAGAGGGTGAAAGTTTGATTGATGGGTGCAGTGATCTGTTCTTGGGAATTGAGATCCATCGGGACTAATCCGATACTCTGAGCAGCTTTTGTCTTTCCATTCGACTTAAATCGTTTCAACATCTCTTTGTTGAGCCGATAGAAAGTGAAATTTGGGCCTTCACTAATTTTTGAATATCAGTGTATGTCCGATTATTGGTGTTGGAGACCGACTTACTAGTACGCACGTAATAAGATGTCGTCGGGTCAGGTTCTGAATGATTTGTGTTCTATGAGAACTTGAGCCTTACTTTGGATGGATACTAGGAGAATGTCAAGAATGGGACCTGGGATATATTTCATCAGCGTTTAAATAAGTGGTTACTGTACGTCTTATTAGTATTCTTAATTCCAAAGTGGACTGACTTGACTACCGAGCTACCCATTGCCTCGATTCACTACATAACTCTAGCCGTATTGTATTCAATCGTACCACTATACGGTCTCATTGATTCTAGATATCAATCAGATTCTAGCTTTAGCTTATATGACACTCAAACTGATTGTATCTAATCACTATCTAAGTATCAACCCACTTTTCTTTTGCTTACAGGGCTACAAAAATAAACAAAAATACACACCTAGTCTCGGCCATATCCAAATACCCCAGCTAATAATCTGAGTATGCTGTACGTCTCAATCAGATATCAAAATTGAAGTTTGAGCTGATGTGATTGATATCATCTTGCAATTCTCTCTTCTCCTACAGCTGTCTTATCCCTTCAATAGAGTATAGAACAATCCAGAAATCCCTTCTTTAAAAGTAATTTCCTGAGAACTTCGCGTTCTTTTCAAGTAAAACATTGATTGTTCTTCTAAAACAACTTCACGCTTATAAATACTCTACCAGGCAGCTAATGATAGTTCATACATAGATTTCGAGAGAAGTTGCGCACTTGAGATGATTCTACTAGCTTGGTCACATTAACTTTGGTTTCTCGTTGTTATTTTGTAAATTTGAAGGGTTAAAACATTCTGTGGCTGTGGGATATCTGAGTTTCCAGCATCTCCTACTCAAAATTCTCAATTAAGAATTATTATCTGATCGAATAGTGTAACGTCCAACTGAAGTCTCTAAAAGTCTGGTGTTGCACATCTCGAGTTAATTTATACAGGCTTTACCCCCACAAATGCTAGTATAGTTGCTAGAGAACTCATACTATTCTTTCCGCTAGATTCGACTTCTGTAGATTTGTGTATGATACATTTATTGTTTTTCTGGCTTCCGGATGTTGTTAAGTTGTATGTCTGGAAATCCCCACCTCCTAAGAGTTATTTTTTTATGCTAATCATAACATGGCCATTCAGAAACATATATATTTGATGAGTTGCTAGTCAATAACAGTTTCTGTCACACAAGTATGATCAGTTGACATAATTCGTTTCAGAGAATGGAGAAGAACCTTAGCGAATTTGTTCTATATATACTTTTCGCGACTGTTTTGGCGGTTCTACAATAAGATTTAGTTTGAGCTGGTTCTTTCTAGCATGAGGATATTCCATAAGATTCATGATCTCATTAACAGCGTAAAAGAATCTTGCTCTGTGCTTAATTTGTAAGGTCATTCTCATTGGATTTGAACCGAGAAAATGGAGCCAACGGTTTCGTTTCGAAATGCAGGTATCGAGTCGCGTATGCTTCTGGCTATTAAGCGAAAAGAGCAATGATCGTATACGACCAACACGAATTTCAATATTCATAGTTCTACATCGCCAGTCGTGTTCTCTCCAGTATGTCAACACTGGCAACCACAACGCAAGCTCGCAACATGGCGAACGGAACTGGTTATAACAAAAAATGATTTTTTCTCTATCCTACATATTACTTTACTATTTCAACGGGTATCACAGACTAGATTTAGTTCTCATAGTCTTCATTCCAAAGACAGGACGATCTTTCATCCTACCAGTAGAAGCAACGAAAAAAGAAAAACTTCAGCACATGATCAGAATGTTCCTCTCCTTTTCGCTGATTTATGAATTGTTCCTGTTAACAATAGCTCTTATTATTTTCAACTGACTAACTCAGAGGCTGGCTCCAAAGCAACTCTCCTGACACGAGACATGACACGGAAGACTTACAGGGGAAGGAGAATCTCAGGTCTATTAGTCATAATGGTCATTCCAGGTTCTCACTACCAAAACCAATACCAGTTTTGATGTAACTCAGTATTTAATCTCAGAAACATGCATATGCATTGATTGATACTAACTATATTCAGGAAAAGAGAGGCAAAAAAATCCTTAACTCTCATTATAAGCATAGACAACCATTCCTATAACAATTCCAACAGAAACAACTAATTATTTCGACCATCTGAATGTCCAACTTCAAGTCAGACAATGTTCAATCGATATCCCACCACAACATCTAACCACCCCAAGGCAGCCATTGCCCCCAATTTCTACCCGGTAACCCTACTCCCGCTACGGCCCCAAGACGCCACCGTGCCTACCCCCGAACACGTTTCCACCACTATGAGTACTAGGTACCATGCTCCTCAATGTTTCTTGACCAACGCTTCTCTTATTTCTCAACGCCATCTCTCTAAGGTGATGTCTATCATCATCAATCACATCATTTGTACTCTTCCCCCTCGAAAGTCGATCTCGTTTCGCTTTTGGTGTCAATTCAGGTGAGGTGTCCAGGAGATTATCAGGCGGTTCAAAAATCGAGAGATTTGGACCTCTTAAGCTACCTCCATATCGTGGAGTGCACTCGAATAGCGCGTCTGGATCTGCGCTAAAGTAGTTCCCGTCGCTGATACTCGCCCGAGGATGTTTGCGAGCGGGACGTGAGGTCCTTCGCATTTGTGACCAGATCTTCCGTGCAGGATCCATTCTCTCCGTCTACTTGATCTAATGGGTGGTCGTAAGGCGAGCCCAAACGTTTGGAAAGAGGGCTACTACGAGCATTAAAATTTGAGATGGCTTGTCATTGAAAATGAGTGAGAGAGTAGACTGTCAGTTGAATCTACACATGACAATGAGCTCGCTGTAGATTTCCGATTTTCCTTATCCGACAAATATCCGTAGGTTCTTCGAGGATATGGAATTGTTGTTCTATCTTCCGCGAGCTCTGAAGTGCTTCTTTCGATTTCTCGGCCGAAAAGTGCTTTTCGATAATCTTCGTAAGCACACTAGCTCCTACTGCCGAATTTAAAGTCCCAGAGCTTCTAGGTGACCAAGCAGACGCTGGATTGTGGCGCTTAATAGATGCTGTGGCTTTAGTTTCTAGCAAAGTGTGTTGTGGTAAGAGCCTGAACTCTCCTCGGCAGCTTGCGATCTTAAGTTTAAGAAAGCCGAGTGTCTATAGTTCAGTTTTACAGTCAAATAATGAGTAGTGATATCTCCCAGAATTTCATTCAGGGTTTCGATCAGTTCATCGGATGATCTTTGCTTCGCGTGCGATAGCGAGTTCTTGACTTCGTTCAATCGATCTTCACTAACATAAGATGAGTTTCACTCACCCGAATAGTCTTAGCTTGAAAGGTGTCTGCCGGCTGGTCAACTATGATACAATCTGGCCCAGGTTGGAATTCAACAGCAATGTTGTGGAGGCTGCCATAACTTCTGAGGTCTAGAAAAGTCAATGAGAGCACTTTTCAAAGATCAAGAAACTCCATGACCTACCTAAATATCGTGAAGTAAGATCTTTTGTACTATAAGTGCGACCGGCATCATCTAATGTCGATGTGCCATCAGCTTTCCTAAGTACGCCGGTGATCTCAACAGCAGCCCATAATGTACAAACACCCGCATTCACACTAGCACTCTCCGGAGTGACAGAAATTTGCGGGCACAGAACGAAATTGTCTTCTCTAGAAGAGCTGATTGTTGGTACCAGCGTTGGTGTGGGTGTAGGTGTAGGTGGGTTTGACATTATGATGGTGCCATCGTAGTAGGACGATATTCTTGAATTGGTTCTGGAATCATTGATATTCTGATTATCAATTGTATCAAATGGATTAGCGAGTTCGACGGTCCTAACACTCAAAGAAGCCATCGATTGAATGGTAGAAGCTGAAGATTTTCTACGAGAAAGCTTGCGAAGAAGAGTACTATGTGATTTCGTCGAAGTCGAAAAATGACTCCGATCAAGAGTAGGATTAGAATCCAGATCCTCAATCCGTCGACCACCAAATGCCCTCAACAAAGAATACTTGGATTTGGATTTCTTTCTTTGGGGTACCACAGGAGAGCCAGCTAATTTTCGAATATCTGCAGATTCAACATCTTTTTCTGAACTCAGAGAATGCAATTCTGTCCTTAAGAAGTTTCCTGTGCTTATTTTCCTCTGCGCTTCAGATGCTTTTGGCGTAAGTTCAAAATCGTCTTTCGAATAGTCAGGATGATCTGAAACAGTTAGCTGCTGTTATAGTATGACTAATACTCAGGCAATCAATACCTTGCTTCACAATGTCCACAATCTTGATGGATAAATCGCTATCATCCAGAATGCTGCCTCTACCCTTACCCCTTCTTATTTTGTGTATAGTCAAAGACACTAAAGGTCTGTCCGCTGCCACCGGCGGGCTTCCCTCACCCTCATCATCGAACGGGGACCCAGCCATTCCCCATTCATCTGCGCCTCCAAATCTTGAGCTCGAAATGCGACTGGTAACGGTTTGGCTACGTTTGATAATTCGTAGCGGCTCGACCTCTGGCTCATAAAGCTTCTGGTTGTTGAGATGGAGTGTGCCATATTGAGGTTGCTGAGTGTGTCTCCGAAGATGGATTCATGAAAGTGCCCAATCTGGATGCTCTACTGACGAAGCTAGAACCACCCGACCGTGTAGTCTCTAAATCGCTCCAGGCACCGTCGTAGGTATCTTCGAGACTCGAGTGTCGAGTTATGAATTTCCGGTATAATCTGGAACGATGAAAAGTGTTCCCAGGCCGGTGGCAACAGTTAACGATCCACCTCCAAATACTACTTGCTTTCAATGCAATCAATACAAACGAACAATAGGATAATAATTGGTACTATTATAAGTGCGCCAGTAGGGGAATAAGATTCTGTAATCATAGCCAAAAAGATTGAAGCAATAACTTTGTTGAAGATACCATCCATTTTTTAAAATTGAGAAGATTGCCTACGACAATACTACACGACATTGAAAAGGAAGGTGTGTCTGTCTTACAGAAATTCCGGGTAAGAGCGATATTTCAATCTTTTGGGAAAGATCATGTGGGATATAGAATGACACCAAATCAAAGCTCTCGGAGACCTCGAGAATTTTAATGCTCAAGTGAACGACATGAATAGGATATTCTATTGCCAAATCTTCCGGAAGAACCCCAAAGCACCAGAGATGTGCCAAAAAGGTTTACATGAGATCGAAATTGAAGGATCGCCAGAAGAACTGCACAGTTATTAATTGTTCATCCCGTGGAACTAAAAGGCAATGATTCCTACAACAGGACGAGATTTGCAAGCGTTTACTTCTATACAGTGTAAAAGCTGGTTCGTCTCAAGACGTAGGTGAGACTATGATAGCCCTATATGTCAAGCCTCAGTAGACGAAGATCTCTAAGATTTAAGAGTTCAAAAAGCCTGAGTATGCACTCTTTTTCAAGAGAAAGAGTCCTGTCCAAAAACACACACACACACAAAAAAAGTCGCCAGAAGAGCCGCCAGAATTGTATCGACACTATAGGACATTTGAAGGTCAAATTGTTGGAAATTATGCGTGAAAATGACCCGTATATTTCAGGAACTTTCAGAAATAAAATTGAAGAAATCTAGATCAGTATTCGAATATTGATATACCGAGTCTTTTGGCAGAGACTGAAAAATCAACGACTCTTCCTTCCAATGAACAATGTTTGACTAAATTGAAAACTGAATGATAACACTTTACCAACAGGCAACTCTCCATTACTCACAATGTACAATCCAGTAAACAAGCTATGAAAAGTCCATCCAGATGACTCGCAAAGAACCGACTTGATGGTCTACTGAAACCCATACTTTTACACTCTCCCCAAGGCCAGCTCACAAAACTCAAAGCACACACTTAAAATGAGTGATACAACCTAATCAAACAAGAACATAAAACAATTGTCTCCATCGAACTGATAACCCCCGACTGAATCCAGACCGCCTGCGATCCTCCCAGGATTGAAGATAAAAATGTAGAAGTCTGACCACTTTGTATGCGACGTCGATTATTGCTCCCGCAGGATCTGAATCCTAGGGGTTAATGTGCCCCTAATGATGAGCATCGCTACTGGGTTACGCGAAGGCGATCATTCAATGATCATGAAAATGCACAAAATTGAAGACATCGGGTATTTTTCTTGCGCAACACAAGGGCCAATGCATGTGAAGATCGGAAGGAGAATTAAAGCTTGTATTATGTGAACGGGGGTATCAATGCTAGAAAGAATAGTCCGTAGGATATGCTGAACTGTAAAAAATGCCGAAACGTCCAGGATTTCCTCAGGTATCATACCACGCTTCTCCGATGTGGTTCCAAAGTATCCGCACTCTCTTTAATCTGCTCTCTGATTTGCTCAACCTTCTCCTTGTCAAGATTGAGAAATTGTATCAGATCATCTGCTCCTAAACCATATAAGACTGTTTCGGCGGTACTGGCCTCGATACCCTTCTTGACTCTCGTTTCCCACACGCCATCCCAATTCCATTCTCCTGGTGCGCGCGCTACTACTGGTGATGTCGGATCCTTCAAATTGGAGTCTTTGTTTTCTGCAGTCATCTTGCCTATCTTTATGCGATACGATTTCCACGCGTGCCATGCGCCGGGGTTACCAGCTGCTTCTAACGGTACCTTATCTAGCACGAGTTCATCGTCGAACGTCCTCCGGATATATCTCAATACTTCATAAACCCCAACCCTGATACCATCTGCAGTTTTTCCCAGTGGATAGATACCACTTCCTGGGCTACTCATAGCTTCGCTCTCAGCTGTACTTCCACCGGCCTTCGTGGGAGTTCCTTGTTCTGCGCCTTTTCTACTTGTTCTTCCAAACCATGCCGGGAACCCTTCTCTCAGTGAGAATCCTCCAGGAGGTAATCTCTCCTCATCTGTCGCGCTCACTGTACCGTCAGACTGTATATCCGTACTGTACATGTAAGTTGTAAGCGGCGTAATCAGCGGGTGAAAAATGTCCGTCGAGAAAGTTACTAGAGGCGGGAGAGCAGGATATTGAGGTGGAAACGAAATCTGAAAGCGCAGGATTGAAGGCGCATAGGGGCCTAAAGTAAGGCAGATCAAGACGAGTTAGCTGAAGTCATCGATGTCGAGACGTGATAGTTTGGCTATATGGAACCCGCGTTCGCGGACGGGAGATGCGTGGGACGACAGATAGTATTCAATGAGATTCAAACGTACCTTTCCGCACGAATAGGACGCCAGACCAGAGGGTGGGGTCGCCAGGTGTGAGGCTCATGAACACGCCATGTGGACATGCGTATTTTAGACTTGAACTGCATATTGGTGGATCTCTCATCAGCATGGTAATGTACTTGGTTGTTGATGAGAAGATTGGATTGAAACGCACAATTCTACGAGTAAATGCTGCTTTCGAACAGTAGATAAGGTTGATAATCGTTGTGGCGCCATTGTTATTGTTGTTGTACTTGACTTTGACTATGTCTATGTTTATGTTTCTGTTTTGCTTGTGATTGTTATTGTGATTGTGATTGTGATCCAGAGCTTGGGGATGATGTAAAAGCGGTGAAGTTATTGCCTTACCAATGTACGCAGTAGGTATCCCGAATGTCCAGGAAGCTATTCATGAATCATAAGTAGGGAGGTAGGCTCATGAAACATCATCAATGCTATTTGTACATGACTTTTGGACCAAATTTTGGCTCGAGTAGATTATTCGCACGAGGTGAACTTTGCCTTTAATCATGGATGTCATTCATTTTTTCTCTATCGTTACTGAGTGCTTTCTTGCAATAATGGTATCGTTTCAATCGTCAACCCCCCGCCCCCCAGACTCGCAAGCAGTTATGTATGCCAACAAGATATAGCGAATCGCCGCGCACACTAGCAAACACACAGCTTATAGTGACCTAATTGCCTGCCAACCTTGACTCTACACCAGCTTGTACGTTTTGCAAAATCTCTGCCAACTCACCCTTGGTTGAATCATATCTTCCATTGATCTGGTTGTAAGGATTCAAAGGACTCTTTTCGAACTCTTTCCTGATTCTGTCTTGTTTTTGGTTCTTTCTCAGCCCGTTTCCACTACCATCATTATCCATTTCTTGCAATCTCCTCTCTTCGAATTCTGCATAAGCAGCCTTGAATCTCCTTTCTGGATGCCTGTCGACCTTTTCCTTCGTATTTGATGTCAAAGCCAGCGCATCCAACGCATCATCAATGTTGGAAGCATTGAGAGCTGATGATGGACTAGCACTAGTAGGGGAGTCGTCAAGTTGTGATAGGTCGAGACCTCTTTTAACGGCAGGCTTCTTTTCGGCTTTCTTCGAGTTCTTCGGACCAGACGGAGCAGCAGCTTCCTCAGCCTTCAACAATGCTTCTTTTTCTGCTTTCTTCCGATTTAACTCGGCTTGTTTGAGTGCTGCAGCTTCACTGTTGTTCAATACTACGTTAGCAAATTGGTCGGGTGATATGCGGGGCAGCAAAAGCTGAAATCAACCATTCGGACTCACGCCTTTGCATTGCTCTTTGCTCCCTTGGACCATTCTTCTGACTCTGCTTGATCCTTTTTATTTTTCTCAACTGCCGCTTTTGACGCAGCAACTTCAGCTTTCTTGGCGTTTCCAGCCGCCTTTCTGCTATTCTCTCCAGCAGCTTGCTTTTTACCCATATTGACTGGTGTGTGCTAGTTATTCGGCTTACGGATTTAGTTACCGTTGCGATGGACCGACCCTCAACTATTGAAAGGAACGAGCCGATGAAGGGATCGGGTATTTATGAATATTGGACGATGTGGTTGATTATGGAAAAGATTTTCTTGTAGGGTAATGTCAAGAAATATTGATCAATCCTGGTGTCTTGATGTGATTTCTGACTCTTTTGGTGGTTCCAGGCTCATGATTGCCCCGCCAGATGCTGGATGATGCAGCCCTTTCAAGGGTAAAGCGATCCAATGTGAATCCGAATCTCGGACTTTTGCCTCAGGCTGCCACAGACTTTGCTTATTCATGTCTGCCGAATTACCGATGCCAAGGTCACTGGATACAAGATCACGTGACCTAACCAGAGGTTCAGGGGCTTCTGCTATCTCTAATCGAATCGTGCTTACAATACTTCGGAAAGATTACAATCCAATACTACGTCAACCGTCCATTCTGAAGTCGAGAAAAGTGGAAGGGATAGAGCCGTCGGAAATTTACCCCAAGGAAGCCATTTTATTATTCCGTTGGTTGTGGATTTTCATACATAGCCGGCGTACCGCAGCAATTCCGATACTGCCCAATTCTATCATTATTGCATGGACTTCAACGTTATATACAAGGGATCTGAGAATTCGAATGTGATATGATGGGCATCCTTCATGCAGAGCGAAAGCCTTATATCACTGTTATGCTGATGTGCTCAGCTTTGCAGATTTTAGGTGAAAATCATATGACCCTCAATTTGTATCCATTCTCGTCCATTTCCCCAATGAATTCGATTCTCATTCACCGAGAAGTGTTGTAAGATGCTTGGGTGCGGGAGAAATCTTCCACGTATGATTTATCGTGTGATACCAGATCAAAAATCTCCAAGGGATCCCGTTACCAGTCAATAGTTGCATCAGTCAGATTGGGTACATGCATTTTGTTTTGGGCGGTCATACAAATTTATCTTTCGATGGGGAAGATGGGATCATCTTCCGAGCCATCATGGAGACTGAAATCTGCCCATGAAACACAACATATCATACCCCCACTCACTTTTTAGGGGGCGATATTAAAGTTTGAGTAAGGCACTGAGACGTGAGTGCGGTCAAGAACTCGGTGAGAAGGGCGCAGTCCCTGCGGTCAAGCCATGATTGGTTCAAATTCTTGGATAAAACTCGGTATCAGTAAGTAACCTATGCATGACGTGCGGTCTGTTCAGGGATTTCCTGTAAGGCTGTGCCTTTCCGCTGTAACAGTATCTTGCGTTTGGGATATCCTCATGCCAGGACTCCGGATATGGACCTGGCGAAGCGAGGAGACTTCCACTTCAAGGTATCTGCTATGATACACCTAGCAAGCGACCCGTCTGACCATCAATGCATCAGAAGGAGTACGATGAGAACGTTACCCTGTACGAAGGAATCGTTCCATGTGAGTGGAGTTAGAATCCGCTCTAAGCCGACACATAGCTGTAAGTGGCTTGCCAAAACCTTACTGCTTATAGTATTACAGGAAATGGCGCCCAACGTTGTACACCTCGTGGTCCAAACCCCTGTTTTCAGTCTTAATTCTGGCCAATATAGTCTAAATGCGTGGTTGTAATACGGGATTGAAAAAGAGAACGGAGGAGTAACCTTCGATGCATATGCAGGCCTACATGGGTAGATGCAGTGTAATTTTGAAGTTGGTAACGGTGCATCTTGCATCTGCAAGCCATCAACTTTGTAGAGATTGAAATCTATGTGCCTTCCAACGTATACGCACAAAAGATAGGTTTGGGTACAGCATCACTACATGTTATGGCGAGTGCCCAAACGAGCACATTAATCAACCCATGTCGTCACACACTTGAGGGGTCTAATTGGCTGGAGAAATGTTTCTTGATGCCGCATCTCGACGCAGTGCCGCAAATCTATTCAGTTGAGATCGAGGACGGTCAATGGTACTTTGACGTATCACGATCCACTGATAGAATTTTTCGGTACTGCTGATATAAGAATGGGCTGCAATGTGCGTAGCCGCTGCAATGCATGTTCGATGCGCCGGATGACTTCCCAAACCCATGGAATGATTTTTTTTTAACTCTGTCCGGAGTCTCAATCATCAGAATACTTTCTTCAATGGGCAAGAAATAAGGACAGATGAATATTTTTGAGTGGATAGTAAGATTTTGACTTCAAAGCCTAAGTACCACGCCACAAATCTCAGATGCATCTCATGTAGTGCGCGACATTGCAGCAGTCATATAGGTCTGTAGAAGGTCGCATTCCAAAAATGTCTCCCAAAAGTGGTGTCCGCGGGTCTCCGGGATCTTCATTTTGCACCCGAAAAAAGAAAAATCACAGGATTATTACTTAGCAAACGATGCAGGCTCAGGCAGGATAGATATTTCCGAGAATCCTGTGACCCCTCCAAATCGTAACATGAGCAAAGAGAGTACTTGAGAAACATTAGTGCATATACCAACAGTACCACTCAGAATTCGACATCCGAAATTCCGCGAAGCAATACAATCATCAAATCAAACAACCCCTTGGATTGTGGCGTGAATCTATTGAACAACATCGAGATTTGAGGAAAAAGGAAAACTATCACAGGAACGAGAACTTACAACTGGCGGTGTATCAATTCGAGATTAATAATTTCATTGGTCTTTTCAAATAAATAGAAAGTTAGTTACACAGATATTGTTCTCGGGAATTGAATGTGGGCGGGAATTGAGAATCATTCTGTGTATTCAGGGAACAGCGTTGTTGTTTGTTGGGAACTTGGGCGATACTCTACGAATATAAGAAGGTGAAAAGAAAAAAATGGATGGAGGTGTGAGACATTGGGGTTAAGGAAAAAATCGAAAGTGCGATGTGTGTGATGTGTATGAATGGATCGATAATTAGATCCATAGAATCAGTACCGGATCCTTTTTTTCCTTCTAGAATACAACGCGTCTACTGAGGCTTTTGTACCCCTTCATCGCTTCGTTAAACCCCTCGGCGTCAAAATTGCGAATACTGTCAGAATGTTTTGCCAACTTGATTTGGTGTTACACACATCCAAGAAAAAAAAGCTGAATGGGAAGTTCGGAACACTTATCCTGCGCCGGTAAACGTCAAGGAATGGTCCGAGATAGGTACAGTTCAAACTTTTGCACGACTACGCCAAATATTAAACCACACCACTCGAAAGTTTTTTAGATGGCAAACCATCGAATTCTCAACATCATTCGTTCGGATTTTCTCGCTACGGGTCTAGGAACAACTTCCGCGAAGCTCTCTGAAACCAATCAGCCAACCTTGGTCTGCTTTCTGATCTTGGAACAAGCACACCATCTTTTAGCCTTTGCTACTAGAGTTGTTAGTTACAAACTGCTTCTGCTTGAGCCCCTTTTATCTTAAAATGTAGCTGAGGGTGCTCCACTAAGGAAAGCATCCCTGGACCTTGGAGTTTTCGAAATTCGAACCCTTCTACCAGCCTTCCAGCTACGGCATCCCCTATAATGATCGTCATTATCGAAGATGGGGTGCCACAACAAAACGTGGCAAGGACCGGTTTTCTTTCATATGGCTTTCTCGGCTTACTGCGAGTTGGCTTCGATCCAATCCCACTGATCCAATTTTTCATTTCCCCTAGTTGTTTGACCCATTGAAAATTAAGCTGAATAACCTTGTCGTTTGGCACCATCTTCGTATGCGAAACAACCTTCCAAGGACGTAAAGGCGCTAAGGTTCATTTCCTTTCGAATGGGTCTTGAATAGAACTTTCGAA